GGAGTACCCCGGTGGTCCAGAAGGCTCACGGGGGCGAGCCGGTGCTGCTTGGTGAAGAAGGGTGCGTGCACGTGTGGCTTCAGGAGAACTGTGAAGCGATCCTCAGACAGCGAGCAAACAGAAACCCTGCTGTGAGATGGATGGGCGTTTTATCAGGTGACTTGTCTGCTAGTCGTTCACACCTGCGTACCAAAAGGGTCAGATTACCTCAAGCAGATCAGATCTCGTTGAAACATAACCTACTTAGTTTTCTGTAAATAACAACACACGGCATGCATGTGTGTGACATCTTCAAAATACTGTTGTAATGGTTTAGTTTACATGTTATTTAATGAGCCATAAGACAAGATTCCATAGTAAATATGAAATCAGCCTTATGGATCTGTGGTACTGTTTAACCAGAAGATTGGAACTTTTTATTGCAGGGATTAGAAAACAGCTTCGTATTCACTCAGAGACAACAGAAGAGTGTCAAGTTTTAAAAGTTTAAAGATTTATTACTAAACAAATTAAAACTAGACTAACTTTAACACTAAATGTATGGTGTAACTAAGGTGAATGAGATGGAGAATGGTGTGATGTGGAATGTTGTTCAGAACCAGCAAATCCGAAGAAGCAATTAGTTCTGGTGGGAAATGAAGGTGATGTCTTCGCTCTAAGCATTGGTTAGGAAATTCATAAATACATGAGACACCATGTTATTGGTCTACGTACCCTTAGTGGAAGTCCCCGTCTAGATCAGGAGGTGTAAAGGTCCAGCTGGACCTTATGGAGCCGAAGCCTGTAGAAGCAGCCACAGCAGCCGACCACCAGTCTTGAGATACTTCCGGGTCACGACAGTTTATCTGCATCTAACAAGACCCACACCTGGGTCGTGATGGTTCAGCTTTTATTTTGAAAGGAACCGTTGCAGCAGGTGGAACAGCAACAGATTTTATCCAGCTTGTCGTTGGTTCTTTCGGCTGAAGAGGAAAGTTACGGATTGGCCACTCCGACAACTTCTCTAGAACGCTTTGAACTGGCGTTAGAGATGACGTGGGCATAGTTTTATACTTCGGGTGTTTTGGTTTATGGTCGAATGAAAAGATAGATTTACCAAGCACCACCAAAACCCCGCCTCCGTCAGATCTGGCAGATTCTGATTGGATCAGTTAAGCAATGTGTCATGTCTTAACGCTATGTGAGATCAGTCCTAGTGGAAACATTTAAAGTCATATTACTTATTATATTCTATAGGATTATAATAAAGTAATTAATATTTTGATTTCACAGATTGGTCACATCTTATTATTGACTAACACTTTGTTTGATTAGCTGTATTAAAATAGAGTTCTTTGATTTATTAAAAGGAGAGAGTCCATTCTTCATTCTTCTGTTGGGCTGGAAAGAAGCAGTTTATGACAAAGGCATGAGACCTTGAGGCCACATCTCATGCAGACTAGTTCTGTGTCAGAGGAGAGGGGGGAAACAGTCATTTCATACCGTTACACTATTTTCATTCCTTAGTGCATCAAGTTGCAGGTTGAAAGATGCGTGCCACCGTTTACCCTTCATCATGCAGCAAGCATTCACCACGCTCCACTCCGTGTCCTCTTCTTTACAGCATTTTCATTTGTTGTCTCCGTGTTTCTTTCAGTTTAAATGTGATGATCTGAAAAGTATTTGTTTGGTGAGTCCACATCTGGGGGTTCCCCTGGTTTTGAAGGGTTATGGTGGTAGCAGCTGGCGTTGGTGGGTGAGGGAGGGGGCGGGATCTTTCTTACTGTCTCCTCGTGCTATTGGACAACAAACAACGTGACATACTGGCCTCTATGGATGCCAGTCGCCGAGGCCAGACACCACACTCTGTTAACGAAGACGTAAACACATCCTCGTTCTACATAAATCAGGTACCTCCACCTGTTCTCGGCTCAAAGAGAAGCCCGACTCTGAATAGTTCAACAGGCCGACGCCATCGTGTTCCGCTCAGCCGCGGTAACGTCCCTCCCACCAAACAGAGGTGACTGACAAGACGCCACGGTGCTCAGGCCAACGGTGGGCCTGCGGAGGCATCGGGAGCGAGGCTACACCGGCACGCAGAGCACGCTCGGCTAGTGGAGATGAATGCCGCCAGTGTGATGACTGATGGGACTTTGGCTTTAACTTCCATGCATCCATTCATCCTTCCATCCGTCCACGTTGGTAACATGTCTCGCTTCAGTCGGAGGAGGCTGCATTTCGTTCATTTTAGGATCTGATGGTGTTCAGCTGGTTGAGTTTTTCCTGAGATGTGACGTCTCAGAGATAATACAAACGTATTTCTGTACCACCAAAAACTGTTGTGAGCTGGGAGGTGAGCACTCTACACACACCATTACGTCACCTGTTTTTGGGAGCTTCTCTGATTTCAGGAGAGAGAGCAGCAGATGTGGTCAATCAGCTGATCAGCGGGTGGCCTTCATAAGGAGGACGGAGGACACTGCTAAACTGCCGGATGATTACGCCTCACTGGTAGAAATCCCAGCCTCTGTGATTCCTAGAACTCTAGTTTTTGAAATCTCGTTTTTTGCTACGACTTTGTGCTCAGACTTTGTTCATGTTTTTCCCCAATGCTTTAGGCTCAGTCATCACTTTCCATACACCGCATCCCTGCGTGATTTTGGATATACAACTGCCCGACCATACAGCCTCTGGATTTATCTCTCGACTCCCCGTCCTCCCAACGGCTCGACTTGCTCCTGGTAAACCTGCTCTCTCTCTCTCATCACCTCCGGTTGGAACCCCGTCATTCTGCCTCATCCCTGGATATTCGCTCGCTCTCCCAGCTCACCCCTCCCCGGACAAACTTCACCACGCTTCGCCTGTAAGTCCTCCTCCCAAGCGCATCCTCTACCATATTACATTATCAAGGTCTCGCATCTGCTCCTCTTCCCCTCAGACGCTGCTCCCGTCACTCATTCGCTGATTACCAGTTACTCCTGGAATCATCATTTCTTAATAAATCATTATTATTCCTACAACCAACTTCCGTGTGTTGATTCTGCATGTCCTGGGTTAAATATTTATCACAGAACATGACAAAAACATGTAAACGTGTGTGTGAGCGTGCACGTGCGTCCGTTTAAAGTTAACAACCCGACAAGCGTTGTCTGTGGAGGTCAAAGGGTTAGGGGTGAATGGATGAGGGAAATGGGTAACACTAGCTAGCCCAGCTGACTGACCTAACAGGAAGTGGTCCAACAGTGGTGTGGGTCTTGCTGGATTTCCATCAGAGCTGAACCAAACAGCACCAGGATACTGAAACGTGACCGTTTTCATGGCCCTGATCTGATCCCTGAGACAATATTTATCTGGTGTTTCGTGTCTTCGGACCACAAACCTGCTGACGAGCTGAAGGCATATAAACTCTGTGTTTAGTCCAGGAAGGCATCCTTCACCCAGAGACTGCTGCTGCTGCTGCTTGGATTCATCACAACAAGGTAAACCCTGACCTCCCTTCATCAGCTGTTACTGCTAGTGATGACATCCACGTCAGAGTTTTTAGAAAAGTCTTTTAATGTGGATTTTCCTCCTGAACACTAAAATGACACGTTCTACCCAGATGACGTCAGGTCTGCTCTTCCTGCTGCTCCTCGGGATCGGAGGAAATGTGAGTCAGCAGAAGTTCTTCTGTAGTTAAATAATCAGCATGAATGTGACTTTGGTGGATTTATTTTCTCCTGATGACCTGATGAGAAACGAACCAATGAAACGTGTTTAAAACCAACGAAGAAGAAGCTTCGTTCATGTTTTACAGACGATCCTCCTCATGAAACGACCCTTTGATGCATGAAAGATGAAATCTTTATGACTTTTAACTATTCTTTTCATTCACGTTCAGATGTGAAGGAAACTAATTCCAACTAAATTATTATTCTTTTGGTAACATTTAATTTATTAATGATTTATTACACGTCCACCTCAGTGGACGGCGCGCGTTCTGAACATGACCTATGTTGGCTTGGCTTACTAGAGTCCAGTGTGTGTGTGTGTGTGTGTGTGTGTGTGTGTGGGGGGGGGGGGGGGGGGGGCTTAATAGCAAAACATAAATAAATAAAATAAATGGAGAAGTGGTCCGCTGTAGTGACCGTTAAGCACGACAGCGTTAAGGTTTGATCTCAGGTTTCTGGAGAGCTCCCAGTGCCGCCAGTCAGTCCAGTTTACATGGAAACCGTTTGGGAGACATTTGGTTTCTGACTCTTGTTTTTTCACCTCCGCAGATATTTTCTGAAGCAAGGTCGACAAGTAGGTGCTTCTCTGTTGCATCAGCAGGTTTTCACACGAGTGCACGAGGATGAACTCACTACTGGTCTTCAGTGAAAAGACTAAATGTTGACGGCTCAGAACTGCTGATTGTGACTGAACTTGTTTTATGTGACAGAGCGCCTGATCGTATGTGAACACTCGACGGTCCAGCTGACCTGCGGTAAGCCCCCCAATGCTACTGCTGACTTGTACGCTTTCACTGATCCGATTCAAACCCGTTAATGTTGGTTTTTAACCGTTTTTCTGAGTTAAGGCACCGGTTGTTTTGGTGTCTGGTGGAGGAGACGGCTGTGAGCAACCTGCACGTCGTCTTCTCAGTTACCCCACATGTTCTCATCCCACTTGCAGAAACTAAACTCTGGCTAGTTTGGATAATGGGCTCGACGCACGGGAGGCGACTCGCTGTCGACGCGTTCTGTTCCATGGCGAAATAGACTTTTCCGTTGTTTTGATTGGCTGTCAGGTTGGAGGGATAAAGGTTATTTAAGCGGTTCAGAGTTTAAAAAGCGGTACTTTATGATGTTAAATACATTAAAGTTTATCGTTAGGTTTGCTGTTGCACTCATGGATGTAATTTTCACTTTAGAAGTGGGGGGGGGGGGCACAGGGGGGGGGGGTATGTTTACAGCATGCTCTAATGGGAAACAGGCGTCAACACAAACGGTTGTTTTCCGCTTGGTCCTGAAACTCAACCAGTGTCAATTTAATAAAGCGTA